ACATTGAAATTGTTTATATAAATATCTATAATAGAAAGAAAAAATGATTGGAAAAAAAAGACATGTGAACACAATTTTTTTTTCATGTATTAGATGAACCAAATGAGCACCGTTTTCATCATAAATAGTAGACTATAAAAAAATACTTTGTAAAAACAAAAAAAAAACTACATTGGCACATTCGAATCATCTATATCCATAATTGTAACACAAAGGATAACGAATGAAAAACTAAAAAAAAAGAGGCCAACAGGAACAAAGAGTTGTGATTCAATATTTGAAAATTGAAAATTAATATAAAGACCTTGATGGATAGAGGTAATAGTTGGCACACTGAAGTCATTGACATCAGTATCTGTAACACAAAGCAAAAATGTAACAAAAATAACAAAAGACATTTTTAATATAAAAATATTTTTAACTGCGTATTAAATCGGATTTGTGCTCACCATATTGAGTATAAGTTGCAGACAAATGTTCTCCAAGATGATCTGTAAAAAATAAAAAAAATGGCACATTGGAATCATCCATATCCATATATATAACACAACAGGAAAACGTAATAAAAAAAAACTAAAAAGAGAGCCCATCACGAACAAAGAGTTGTGATTTAATATCTGAAAATTTAAAATCGATAGAAAGAGAGCCCATCATGTTCTCTTATTCATTGTTATCAGTATCTGTAACACAAAGTAAGAGGTAACGAAAATAATAAAAGACATTCTAATATAAATAAATTTATTCCCAGCGCATTTAATTAAGCAAATGCGCACCAGTATAAGTCGTAAACAACTGTTCTTGAATATGCTATGTAAAAAATCGGTGAGTATAACATTTATCATTCAGACATTTAATTTGCAATTAAACAATAGAAAATTGGAAATAATAAAACGTAATAACAATGAATATCCCTTTTTTTTCAAAAAACATAAAGATTTGAATTAAACTGAATAAAGGTTAAAAAAACGATTAGATTACATGATCAACATTAATTATTTAAAAAACTAAGATGACGACAAAAGAGTGATTTAGTAGTTATAAATGAGATTTTCATGGAATAAAACAGAAGTTTTTTCTAATAACAAAACACTCATACCTGATTCCACTGAATTAAGAGGTTAATAAAAGATTCAAATTTAAAAATCTGAAAATAAGGAACAAAGGTCGGGATATGTATAATTATTTTTTTTTTACTAATTAATTTTTTTTCGAGTAAATAGAATTGTATTCTTTAAAAAATGTGAAGTTTTTGAATTAAACTGAATAAAGATTTAAAAAATAAAGATAACGACAAAGAGTGATTAAGTAGTTATAAATCAATGAATATCCCGTTTTTTAACAGTCATTTCATGGAATAAAACAGTCATTTATTTTAATAACAATGAATATCCTGTTTTTTTTTCTTTCAAAAAACGTAAAGATTTGAATTAAACTGAATAAAGGTTAAAAAAAACGATTAGATTACATGATCAACATCAATTATTAGAAAAACAAAGATAACGATAAAAGAGTGATTTAGTAGTTATAAATCAATGAATAAGCAATCTTGACCATTGATTTAAAGTAACAAATCCTGTCAATTGAAAATATAATTCTTTTTTGTATTTATTATATTCACCGATTTACCATTAAAGAAAACTTTTTTAAATGTTGCAGTGTGAACACAATGGTGGAATTGAACCACAGTGCGACACGTCAGCAAGGTTTCCACAGAATGAAATTCCTTTATAATATAAGATAGGAGAGAAGAATTATCTCCTACTGAGTCAAAAAAGTGAGACCAATAATTTAAAAAAAAAGTAAAAGTAAAAATAAAAACTTGGCACGGAAATCAATGTATGTGTAGGAATGAAATCTTGTCTCATGTGAAAGGAGAAAAACATTTCCCTACTTATAAATAAGAATAATGTACAAAAAAAAAAAATGTTTTGCAGAATTCAATAAGAGTTGCATAACACGTCATGTCCCAAATTAATTTTTCATAGGATAACAATTGTATCGAACAGACAAATTGTAAAATGAAAAGAATCCAAGGAAAGTAAGTGCCATAGCCCATAGGCTATCCCCCTTCAAATATAATAGATATCAACATAATAAAAATACGTTTTGTTAGTTTGTCCATTAGTTGAGACTTTTAGAGTGCACGTGATGCCAGAGATCAACGCGTCCAACTTAAACCCGTTTTATTTATGGGAAAAAGTATATTTTCACATAAATTTAAGAGAGAGATAAATATAAAGAAGTGTGAATTTTACTTAAAAAAATAAAGATAAAAGGAAATAAAGGCACGAGTCTCACTTTTTTATATCTATTTTTCTCTTAAAAGGATTTAAGTTTATATATACTTTAAAAGGACATTTTTTTTCCTTTATTTATAGATATTTCTTAGATTATAGAAAATAACTTTAATTTTTATGCACACATAAAAATATGAGAGGTTTATATTTTTCTTTTCTTTCTCTTCTCTTCACGTGATCGTATATAAGCTTCACATATTTTATGTATACTTAGGAAATAAAATATGTGAGAAACATTAACCCATAATTATGCTTGAAATTTGAAGCAATCGACAAACTGATAGCCGACGAATCTCCTACTTCTACTCACCTCGGCCTGGGTGTGCTAGTTGGTCAAACGAGACGCAATAGGGGTTGGAATGGCACGCATGTGCCTGACGTAGTGTAGTCTTATTTTTGTTTCTTTTCATTCCTTCTTATCCAAAAAATAAATAAATTAACAACTTATTATAGTAAGATTTTATACAGAAAATAAAGAAATCTGAAACCTATAAATGAATTATCTCGCATCACTGAAGTATTAGACTTGATATTTAATTAATAGCCAACCAGTAAGTATCATACCTGTTATCCTTTAATTTGGCAAATGTAGTTTTAAGAAAACTATACGATATCTAAATGGTAAAAAATGTTTTCCACGGTAACAAGGTTAAAATCATAACAATAATTTAATAAAATATAAACCACTGGATCGTCCAGTGCACGTTCTTGCAGTTTAAAATGGTTATCACTAATATAATCTATGTAAAATAACAAGAGACGAGAAGAACATCGAATAAATTTGTATATTGAATTGATTCAGGAGGGTATAATATATAAAGAAATACTAATGGACTTAGCTCATACTTAACCTAAATCCTAATGAAATAAGAAAATAGATCTTTACAAATAATAAAGATATCCTAAAGATATTCTTTCCAAAGTGTCCTGCCTGTGCCGCAGAGATGTCTAATCGTAGGTTAGTTGATTGATATAGGATCTGATGCTCTCTCTAGATACTTATGAATTAGATATCTTGGGGGTAGCGAGTCACAACACATAATATAACGACCTTAGCTAAAATAGGGGGGGTATTATGATACGTCAGTTTGTTTATTTGCACACGTGTAATGCTTGTAACTAAATTAGTTAGAATCTGTTAGAGTTTGTTTTCAGTTAGTTAGAATGTTGTTTATAGGATCTTCTTGTTAATAGCTATCAATATATATATTCTCTCAATGAGTCTTGTAACTCAACTTTCCAGATAATGAAACTCTCATTTACCAGTTCTATGGATTCTGATATGGTATCAGAGCTCTGAAGAGAGCTGAAGAGAGCTCTGGTATCGCACCTACTTTCTTTCTGTTTTCTATCACTGATCTTTCTTCTATCGATTTTCTCTCGGTTGTTTCCTTTTCAATGGCGATCCAGAGTCCTCTTTCGGATTATTTGACGAATCCATCGAACTCTTTGTATCTGCATCCTAATGAGAATCCCTCCATGGCTCTCGTTGCACCTCCTCTCAATGGACGCAACTATCACACTTGGTTGCGTGCCATGAAGATGGCACTACTGTCAAAGAATAAACTCTGTTTTTTTAATGGAGATTTTCCAGTACCTGACGCTGATGACCCTCTGTTTCCAGCGTGGGAGCGTTGTAATACTATGGTACTTTCGTGGATTCATCGATCCATTGATGAATCAATTTCGAGGTTAATTCTATGGATCGAACATGCCTATGATGTATGGCATGATCTTTCTGAGCGTTTTTCACAATCTGACGTGTTCAGAATTGCAAATCTTCAAGAGGAGATTTGTCGTCTTCAACAAGGAAGCAGAAATGTTGGTGAATATTTCACTGAAATGAAGACACTGTGGGATGAGTTAGACAATCTCAATCCCTTGCCGAAATGTTACTGTGGAACTCTTGATGAGACTCGAAGATCCAGAGAACATGATCAAGTCATTCGATTCTTAAAAGGTCTTAATGACCAATTCTCCCAAGTTCGATCACATATCATGTTGATTGATCCACTCCCAAACATGAACAAGGCGTTCTCCCTTGTTAATCAACAAGAACGACAGTTCAACTCTGAGATTCATGTAGATACTGGCATGGAATCAAAAGCATACCCTGTAGAACATCAACGTCGAACTGAAAATTTCAACAAGGTGAAAGGTCCAAGACCACGAGGAACTAAGCTGTGTACTCACTGTGGAAGGACAAATCACACAGTAGACACATTCTACATCAAGCATGGATATCCTCCAGGCTTTAAATCCAGGTTCAAGGGTGCTTCAGTGAATGTTGTTCTCAATGATGGAGAAGGTGAATGAAATGGTGCAGCAGATACAATAGTCATGATCCAGCAACAATACAAAAATATACTTGACATGTTGCAGCGAACACAAATTCAAGAGAAGGGAGAAGCCTCCAACAATCACACTGTCAATATGACTCAGACATCTTCAACAACAGCTTTCACTACTCTTGCTGGGTCACAAATCTCAGTTATGCATGTCATCGGTGTTCCTTATCTTTAGGAATTTGAGAATAGGATCAAGCTTATAGTAGTGCTATTGCATTGATAGATTGAGAGTTTAAACCCAAACACTGGAGTGATGAGTGAATTGCATATCTTGATGAGAGGTAATTAAGTCAGACTCTAAATTCTTGTTTGAAACTGATTTTGAAATTCTCAACACTGAAATCATTCATGCTTAGCATCATAACTCCGAAATTATTGAATGCAATGTTGTGCCTAAGTTACATGAATTCTTCTCACAGATTTAATCCTTGCTGCCTATAGTTTGATCTTGTTTATTATTGAGGACAACAATGTCTAAATCTGGAAATTATTTGATATGCCTCCAGCATGTAGAGTTTTCTAGGCTAAAAGAGCAAGGATTTGATATTAATTAAGCGATAAATGTTACTATTTATTATAATTATTGATAATCCACACTCAGACACGCTTTCACATATTTTATGTGTTTTGTAAGAGAAAAATGCATGAAAGAGGATGATTTCACAAAGGAGACATTGACAACAGCCTAGCCGCGCGGATAGCGCCAAGAAAGCTGAAAAACAACCAAATCCACTGCCCATCTGCGCGAATCTCGCAGGAGTGGCTCGGATCGCGCGGATGCCACGTGCAATATTTTATAGATTGGGTTTTTAATTAAAAAGGGATTTTAATGTAACACCCCGCGTGCACCCAGTGTATTTACGTCACTATTCAAAAATATGATATGTTGCAAGACGGTGTTTCCTTGCATAATGCATACTTGTTATATTCTCTGGCCAGTAGGATTACATTATTACACACTGCATTGTCATACATATTCTGATGCATGCATGGATATTTTATGTACTGTGATTATACTATAAGGGAGCTTAGGGGTGGAGGAGCCTTCCAAGGGTCCCTAGCTTACTGAGTTAATTATATTATCTCACCCCGCGTTATGGGGTTTACTATTTCAAGTACAGGAGCTGATGGTGCTAAGGCATAGCGTGGCAAGAAGCCAAACGAGAGATATTACCTGACCTGATAGTCAGGATTAGCTTGTTATGCTGATACGTATTTGACATGGTTTTATTTTGGATATGTATCTATATGTCATGTCTTTATTTTGAGAGCATAGGAGATGTCTATGCCATGTTGATAATTTTTCTATTTTGTTAGTTATGTCTGTATATGTCTAGGTTACTTATTTGATTACATCTCTTTTGGTTGGTTGATGTAATCATGTAAGTAATTGTATGGATATTATTTTGAGACTTGTTATGATTATGAGATAGCCTACGCCATGGATGGCTAGGCAATATGGTTTATGCTTGGATTATATTAGACTGTCAATCAGGTTGAAATTATCATAACGGGAATTATCCCCAATGGTCCAAAATACAGACGAAATGTTGTCCGTTTTATTTTGGCCATGAAAGTGAAAAAGTTTGCAATACATAAGGAAAAAGAGAAAATTTATTCAACTATTTTTCACATTAATTAAGTTGAGCATGTTGCACTTACTATCATATAAATGTTAATTAACCGGCTGCAGACAGGGCTTTACATTTAAAATCAAAGTTTTGCTGAAGATATGGAGATATTTGAACCCTTTCTATAAAAAAAGGGAGTAAAAAACCCTTAGAAAGAATGTTTTTTTGGCTAGAGAGTTTGGATAAATCAAGAAATTGAGAGAGTTTTGAGAGATTTATGCTAGAGATCAACACTAAGAGAAATTGAGGATTGAAGATTGAAGACTTTCTTTCTTTTCATCTTTCTTCTTTTTAATGAATTCTTGTTCTTCTTTTAATTTGTTTAAGCCAGTCATGTCTGGCTAATTTTTCTTTGTAGTTAGGATCATGGATGCTATGTGAATCCTTTATAATTTTTAAATTGTTTTTATAATTATTTTAATTCAATTAGTTTTATTTTACCTTAAACAATTTTTTCCATATCTTTATTAAATCTGATCAATTTTACAAGGCTTTGAGGGTTAGAGCTCACAATAGGCATATTGAGATTTTAATTCTGACAAGGGTAAAATAACAATTTGTGCATGATCTAAACATAGACTTGTATGGATTGCAAACTTTTTAATTCATCAATGTGATGCTTGATTCAAGAGGGATTACTAGGACGCTAGGATTCTAATTGGGTTAAAGGGTTAAATACACTAAGACATTAGGGTTTAACTAATTGAATTGAGAAAGATGAATTGTTTGAACTAATGAGTTACTTAATTATAAGAATTAATTCAAGTTTATAAAGGAGGATTAACGATGAAGTGTATCATGACTACATTTTCCATATATTCTTTACTCATATCTTTTCTTACTTTCTTGAATATTCTTGAGTTTTACATCAATTAATTTTAATTACTTTTATTTTTATTCAAAATATATTTCCAAACTAAACTGAATTTTTCAATTAAGGGGATTTTTTTTTTTGTAAATTCAATTAAGGGGATTAGTTATAATAACATTTGATACATTAATCATTGTGGAACAATATTTTATTCTACTTTTAGTACTTGAAACGATCGATATACTTGTTGTGTAATCGCAACACTAGACATGGGGATACATAGGATGATATAATAATATATAATATAACAACAGAAATAATTCAAGGGCTGTGATTATTCCATCTCTCCGAGTATATACGTAGAGAACCAAAGTGATGCTCGCACAGCCCAAAATTAACGAACCCCAAAAGAAGAATGATCATGGCCTCTGACGAAGCGGGAAACTCAATCACCAGGAATACCAATACTGACAAAGAAGATTTGGTGTTGATCAATATTAAAGAATTTATGAAGAGTGAAGAATTGAATCATGAAGCTGTTTGTGTGTACCGTGTTCCCAAATCTCTAAGTTCAGCAAAGTCAGAAGCCTTCACTCCTCAATTCGTGGGCCTTGGCCCATACCACCATAGCCGTCCCGAGTTCTACAAATTGAAGTTGTCCACAGCCAAGAGGATGCTCAACGACTTCACCAACTACGCTGAGAAGAAGCTCAAGGAGTTGAAACTCGCCCCAACTATTCGCGATTGCTACGACGGTAACATAGCCTTCAAAGATGATACCCTCTTGTACTTGATGATCGTTGATGCTTTGTTCCTTTACCAGTTTCTTCACAATCACAGTTTGGAAAGCAAAGAAGAAGGCGTTGACATTACTTTGACACAACTCAACCGAAACATTTCCATCTTTACTGAAAAACAAGGGACGCCCTTGGTCAACGCTGCTGGAGTTGAATTTACCAAGTATGCTATTGTCAGCGACGTTTTCATGCTCGAGAACCAAATTCCCACTTGTATCCTTAAGAGCATCATGAAAGATCTAAATGTTGATGAACATCTGGGTTCAGCGATGCTTGATTTCTGTACAAAATTCTGTCCAATTCACACCAACAAATCCAAAGATGTCAATAATGTTCATTTGTTGGATCTCATGTACCATTTGATAGTACCACCCGAGCCTGAGCATCAGCCCGAACCTAATAATGACCCTGAGCCCGAGCCTCAATCTAGGCCTGACTCACAAAAGACTCAAACTACATGCTGGGACTTATTCAGTTCAATACCTGTATATCTATTGCTCATCTGCTTTGTCATGATATGTGCTGTTTTGCTTATTCTGGAACTCATTTTTTGGGTGTTAAGTTTTTTATTTGGTCTATTACTAAAACTGGTAGGATTCTGTTCCCCTGTATTTGATGAGTTACATAAACTGCTAACCACTAGCAACTTCAAAGTCCTGAAACCCTATGCAACATTCGTAGAACAAACTAGGGGCACTTTTAAATTTTTTCAGGAATCGAAAAACATGGATGCTTCGCTAGCTGTCATGATCCCATCTGCGATGGAACTCGACAAAGCTGGGATCCACTTACATCCTACTAATGGTGGCATCTCATCCATTGAATTCGATGTCACAAAGTGCCAATTTGATTTGCCCAGTATCAGATTGGATGTCAACTCAGAAGTCATCATCAGAAACCTGGTGGCCTATGAGTCATTAATTAAATCCAAATACTTGATCTTCACAAGGTACACGGAGTTAATGAGTGCTATTATAAACACTTCCGAGGATGTGAAGCTACTGGTACATAAGAAAATCATTCAGACCGAGCTAAGTGATGAAGTCGTGGCACAACTTTTCAATGGGATGAGCAAATCAATTCGGCCTACAAAGACTCCACAGTTGGATGAAGAGATTAAGAAAGTTAAAGATAAGTTCGATAGTACCCAGAAGCTATACAGGGTCATGACCAAGTACGGGGGTTCTTGTTGGAAATTCTTCATAGTTGTTGCAGCTCTTGTATTTTTTGTTCTGTCGGTTGTGCAAACGATTTGCTCCGTTATCACTTGCAATCGTACATCAAGATTTGGTAATGTGCTTGAATATCGGGATTATGGTAGAAATAATAACTTCAGTTCTATCTAAATTTTAGCCTTCGAGTTTTTCATGATTTACAAGTTGAATGTGAGTGTATGTGTGGTCATTGTATTTCATATTCTACTATATTCATTGTGATTTGTGGATGTAATATTTGTTAAGGTTTAGCGTAACTCGTTGCAAGGAAACCACTTGTAGTAATTAAGAAATGCTAATCATGTTAAATTATTAAATATTAAATATAATATACACTACATAAATTCAAAATATTATTTAATATCAACACGTGTCTTAACGTGTCGAAATATAATATTTTTTGAATTAATGTGTTAGAGTGTCGTATCACCGGTGTAAGAATATACTGCCTATATATATATATATATATATATATATATATATATATATATATATACTCTTTTGTTAGGAAGCTC